GAGCGCCAGCATTCTGCGGATAGAATTGCTGTTGTTGCTCCTCCTGATTCTGCGGCTGCTGCTGCTGCTGATGTTGTTGGGACACGTAGTAAGCGTCATAGCTGTTGTTGTTGTTATTGAGCATGCACTGAGTGTAGCTGTTTGTCTGCATGTAATACGCATTACACTTATCCATATTCATGTATTGACCATCATAGGCACAGTGGTCCCATTGCAGGTACGAAGTGCCATTAATTTGCGCATCGGCTGCCCATGACGTCGCCTGATATTGTGGGTATTTAGCCTCATTGCCGCTGGCTGCACTTTCCTTATGTACCACCTGGAAGTCAGGTTCTTCTTTAAAGGAAAATTGCTCGTTTATGAGCACAGCCCACTGTGACCTCTCGCTTTTCTGCTCTACTTTCGACTCAATTTTGGATTCTACTTCCGCAGTCGACGCTGTCTTTGGCGTTAGCAATTGTTTATCAATGCCTAATAGCGGTCCCTTTTCCAATGGCGCATCCACCAAAGAGTTCGACTGCGACACGGCCATTGGCACTTCCCGTCCCGTCTCTTCCAGTGCTCCAATGCTTGATGTCGTCGTATTTCTAAGCGCTTTGCGGGCTCGGATGCGCCGCTTTCTGCGTCGTTCACTTTTGTTAAGCGCTCTCTTCTTTTTTGCCTCGTCTTCTAGTGCGACCTTGACGTCGACTGAGTGGGCGGCGCAGCCGTGAGGTTCAGCTAACGACTGCGCGATGCGCCGCTTTTGATTCTGCCGCTGCCGCCGACGACGTTGCGTTTTGGTTAAATATTGCGCGGCAGGCGCTGAAAACTCGCTGCTTTGCTCCGCATTTTTGCCGCTTTGATGTGTCATATTAAAGAGTCGAAATCAAAACAAGTGAATCACGTGCGCCTGCCCAAAAGCAAAATGGCGCGCATGCAAGACTTTCAAATGCAGTGCTGTGCTCTGCCGTGCCTTTGATGTCAGCTCAAGCGTTAAGCAATCACGTGATGTAAAGCGTAAAACACAAACAGAAAACACAACAAAAACAAAACAAACAAGAGGAAAGATTAATTCAAAAGAATGAATTGAGCTTGCAGCGCAGCACGATTACACGACAAAAGAGCGCGCAAGTGCTCGAAAATGTCAAGTTGCTCAACAGTGGTGTTAAGCTCAAGTTAAGTTAAAGCTTAACAACACTAGAACAGGTCTTTTTTGCGAATGTCCTACGCTAATTATGCACTGCTAATTTAAAAATAGCAATAGTAATTGAGTAAATGTTGTATGAAACTTGAACTAATATTTAGCAATTAAAATATTAAAAAATTAAATGTTGCATAATACTGCAAACTGCAGTCAAAATCATTAAAGGCTTATTTAAAACAGCGCCTGCAAATATTTGCATTTAATGCTGTTAAACTTAACAGAAGTCTGTTAAGCGACACCAGTTCGCGGCGAATTGCGCGCAGCACCAACTGCCAATGGCGAAAACCAACTGAGCGCGCTAAATTTGAATAAGTAAACGTCTGTTTTTTAAATGTTACAATTTTGGTTTTTTTCTTTTATTTTGATTTATCAACTACTGTTACGGTAATTGCATATTAAATTGGTTGTTGTTCTTGTTTTTTTGTTATGCTTAAACTTTAATAAGTGTACTTGGTTTTTGCTGCTGCTGCGGTTGTTGTTTTTCCTTTCCTTTCTCTTCACGTTTTGTTTATTAATTATATTTGTACAAAATATATAATATATATATTTTTATTACTTATATATGTATGTTGTTGTTTGTTACCTTTACTATGTTAATGAACAATTTCGTTTTGTTATCAATTGTTGATTTTGCAGTTTGCTTTTGTTGTTGTTGTTGCTTAACTTCAGCTTAAAACTTAATTCTGTTTAGTTTTTTTTTTTCGGTTTTTCGTTTTGTTTTGTGTTTGCTTATATTTCGCACTACAATAACGCTTAACAAAATATAATTATTAACTATGCTTCTTCTTCTTCGTCTTAAATCCTCTAGGCGCATTTTTTCGTTTCATATTGTTGTTGTTTTTTGTTTATATTTTATTTGTATTATTTATAATATTTATTGCAAGATTGCTGCTTGTTGTTGTTTTTGTTGTTCTCGTTTGAAAAAATTTAACTATAATTTAAAGGTTTTCCGTCTCCGTCCTCTTCTTCTCATTAGTTGTATATATATAAAAATATATATATACATATATATATATATGTGTGTTTGTGTGTGTATATTTATCGATATACTTATTCTGTCTGTGAGTTTCTTTGTTTTTGTTTTTGTTTTATTTATAAATTTGCATTTTATTTACAGCGTTGAAAATGTTTAACAATACATATATACACACATGCATATGCACATACATACGCACGCACATATGCATGCATCAATGTGTATATTTAGGCATGTATAAATTGTTTTTTTTTTGTTTTTTATTTTTTTTAATAATTATAAATTTAAGTTGCCCACAATAAAATTGCGCTTTACGATATTTAATATATTTTCGTTTCGTTTTTTTTTATATATTCATTTAAAGATTTTTTGTAATGCCCTTGCAGCGGCTCTTCATTAACTAATAAATAAATTTAAAAGTATTTATTTAAAAAAATATACAAACAAAAATATTAATTTTTATTAAATTAAGTATAATATAAAATTTAATTAAAATTTTAAAAAATGTTAAATAAAATAGCATTTAATTTAAAAAATATATATATATTTTTAAAAATTGAATGCATATTTGGAAAACATTTCAAATGATTGAAAATATAAAAATAAATCAATTTTCAGAATATTAATAAATTAAATTAATAAATGAAAAATATACATTTAATATTAAAAAAACCTCAATTAATAAACAAGAATATTTAAATTTGACCTAAACTAAATATAATTGATTGAAATTTAAATATTTTAATTTAAAACCATAAAAATGAAATTGAAATAAAATATTTAATAAAACAAAATAAATTAAATATAATTAAAAAATTTTGAAACGCAATTTAAATGATTTATTGATTTAAACAAAATATTTAAATATATATATTTAAAACTTTAAATAAATAAAAAGAAGAAATTATAGAATATAATTTTAAGAAATATATAAATATATAAATTTTTAAAATATAAAAATAATAAATGTTTAAATAAATGTTGAAAATATATTTAAATTTTTATACGTTAGATTGTTATAAATTAATTAATTAGTGAACGAAATTTGTAATTTATATTTTTGCTTTTTTACATTTCCATATTAATTTAATAGTTAATTATGTTTTGAAAGACATTTTTGTATTTTTTGGTGAATAAGTTTATTTTTGGAATGATTTATTAAAAAATCAAGCTGGTATATCATATTCAAATTCATTTAAATCGCCTTGTGAACTCTGCTGCAAAGGCATTAGTATATTCGTCTAGTCGAACTTCGGATTTCATTTTTATTGATAACTTAAAATTTGACTACGTTATTTTGTTTTTATATTCCTTTTTGTTTTGAATGATTAATGCTTTGTTTCCCCAGAACCACATTTTGTTTCAAGTACACAATATATATATATATATAATATATATATATTTGTGTTAAATTGTTGCTTACCATTTGTTTTCATTTTGGTTTGTTTTTTCGTTACGTTTTTCGCTTTGATTTTCGAGTTTTGTTTCGCTGCGTTTCGCTTCGCTTCGATTTCGCTTTGCCTTGATGTCAAGGTGCTGCCAATTGGGCACAAAACAGTGCTACCCATTTCCGTTTTAGATCAACGACTTACAATTAGTTTATTGCATTTCTTGTTTGTATTAATACGAGTTTCGGCTTATCGACTACAACTTGATTTTTCGCTTTGGCATATTAAAAAATATATGTATATGTATATGTATATATATATATGTATATGTATATATGTCGGATATATGTATGTACATTGTATATTGGTTGATTTCTCTTCATAGTTTTCTTCGAGGGGGCGGGGGCGTTGTTTTGTTTTTTTTTCTTTATTGATTAAATTGCTGTTTTGTTTTTATTTTGAATTTGAACTCGTTTAAGAACTACTAATGCACTATTAGTTGATGCGTCTGCATATATATATATATATATATATATATATATATGTATATATATATATCTTTTTTTTTGTGAATCTTCAGGCACAAAAACAGGGAGAGGGGCGAACAAATAGTAAAGCCAACCAAAAAAAGTAAATAAAACGAAATAAAAACTTTTGCATATATATGAGATATATTTTAAATACATATTATGTATATATATATATATATATAGTTATATATATATATATCTTTCATTCATGAATTTTTGTTCTAAAAACGTGATTGCTTTCTTTTAAAAATGTTTACTTTTAAAATCAATAATATTATTATAAAACATAATCAATAATGTACGAATATATATAACTATATAAAATAGTGTGTGTGTGTGTGTTTAACTCAATTTAAAACTTATGAAACAGTAAAATTTGCATTTAAATTAATTTAATAAAAACCATACTAAGATTACATTTTTTAAGAATTTCCTTCTTTTCTTTAGAGTTTAGTTTAGTTTTGCTTAAATCTTGTTGGTTCTAGCTTTTATACATACAAAATGTGTTGTTGTTGTTGTTTTTAAGGCGCATTTACATTTTGGCCAGCGAGAATTTATATATATATATATACATCTGTATATATATGTGCAAACGACAAAGGAAAATTAACTAACTTAAATATTAAAAAGCCATTTTTATTTTGTGTGCATAGAAAAACAAAAAAATTCAACTAAAATTGTCTACGAGCTAGGCAAGCATATATATATATATATATATATATATATATATATATATATATATATATATATATATATATATATAAAGAGAAAATAACTTGATTTAATAATAGTTTTCTTTCTTTTGTAATATCAATTAAAACTAGGCATAAATATAAAGCTTAAATTGCCTAACGAAAAGCATAGAAAAAGAAGCCAATCGAAACTTGAGCATAAGGAAATAAGTAAATGATGTGCATAAAAAGAGTAACTTTAGATGTTGTTGTTGTTGTTGTTGGAAGTTTTTCTTTTTGCTAAGCTAAACAACTTAATAATAGTAGCTTGTTGCTGCTGCTCTTCGCTTGATTTATATATAGTATACAATATAATAATAATTATAATTTATAATAATAATAATAATAATAATAGTTGCTAATTTGGCCTGACTTTCATTTAGACACGTTTGGTGGTGATGATGTTGCGGTTGCTGTTGTTGTTTCTGTTGTTGTTGTTGTTGGTGTTCTTGATGTTGGTGTTGGCGTTGCTGTTATCGCTACTGCGACTGGGGATACGAGACAGCATCGCGCAGAGTCTTCAGCCCCGCCTGCACATAGCGAAACACCTCATGCATCGTGCTGTGCAGCGTCAAGGGCCCATTCTCGTGATCCAGTTTGCGTATGAAGTCTGCATAGAAGAAAAATAAATCCATTAATACATTAACAACAGATCATCGAGAATGACAATAATATTTCTAGTTTTTATAATAATAATAATAATAATAACAATAATAGTCAGTCTTTAGCAAACTTTTCTGCAGCCCAAAAAGTTGATAACTTTAATTTGTTTGTGGTTTTTAGATACATTAACTACTCAGATCTATGACGTGCTTTAAAAGTTTTATTTTACTAATAAATAATAATACTTAAATCTAATAATAATACTTAAATAAAATGCCGTAAACTCGTCTGTAATTCATCAAGACTGCACAGCAAATTTATAAATTATTTTAAATACGTTTCATTCGTTAAAAAATCATTTTAAAGCAGCAAATTGTTAAGAGTTTTATCAAATTTTAATTTATGCTAAAATTGTGATTTTAAAGAAATAAATATATACAATAAAAAATATTTTCAATTTTTGTTATCAAATGTTGCAATATAATTCTTTTAAGCGAGCTCTCAAATATTCAAATATAATAATAAATAATAAATATATATATATATAATTTTTTATATATATATATAAATTTTTTTTTTCAAAAAAACTAATGAACAAAATTTTAAATTTGGCCAATTTTAATTTTAAAAAAATGTGTTATTAACTGTCTGATCATAAAATATTTTATGAATTTCAATTGATTTTTGTTAAAATTAATTCGAATAAAATTACATTTCTGTCAAATTAAAAAAAAAAGAATATATAAAATATAATATAATTAATAAATATATATAATTAATAAAATATATATTTTTTTATTTATTATTATTTATACTTTTATATATTTAACGCTTTGTGCTTTATATATTATATAGCTCTAACGCTTTGAGCTGTGGCTCAGCAAGCAGCAGTCAATCAGTCAATCAGTCAATCAGTTAGTCAACAATTATATATAGAGTGAAAGCTGTACATTACCTATATGATTGCCGTTGCGCACCAAACGATCGGCTTGATCCCACAGCTCGTGAGCGCTGTTCACATAGGTGAGATACTCATTCTGCTTGCAAAGCTGATTGTGTATGTCTTGAGGCACTATTTTGCCAGGCGGCGTATTCGAACCGGAGCCCTGATGGATAGGAATAAATATATATTTAAATATAGGCTTATGCAATGTGATATTTAATGTTACTATACCTGAGAGCCCACCGAGTTCGATGGGGATATAGAGGACGGCGTATTGCCATTCAGTATATCCCCCCTACCAGAGCGAAAAAATTCGGAACAACTGGCGATAATTGCACGACAATTGACGCGTCGCAATTTGTAAAGCTTTAAGGATATCAGTGATTGGCAGCGCAAACTGTAGGCAGAGAGCAGGTTAGCTAAAGGTATAGAAAGGGAAGCTAAGATATTCACCTGAGTATGGCCACAATGTTGTGCGATTCGTGATTTCCATTCGTTGACAGCTGATACGGTCGATTCTTGGAGGAAATGTATCTGCAAATAAGTACATAAATAATATTCAATTTAAATATATGCTTTATAAATGATTATCTCTTAACCAGAATTATACTATTATTATTATTGATATAAGTTCTGTATTTAATTATTGTACTACTATTTTCTACTCTCAAAATTAATTATTAAAAAAAATATATTTTTTCTATATATATATATGTATATATATATAAATTTTAGATTCATATTAAAATATTTAATAGTTGGATATCTAAAATAAATTATTTTTGATTTGGAATTAATTTTTGTAACTATTTTTTTTGCTGCGGCATTAATATACAAAAATAGAATTAAAAATGTATATATATACAATTTTTAACATTTTAACAAATATTAAACAATTTTTACAATATTAACAAATTTTAACAAATATTAAAAATTTGTTGTTTAAAAAAATTATAATTAGATTTGTTCATTTATTTATTATAGAACGCAATATATGTCATATATAAAAAAAAAATATAAAGAAAATATATAAAATTTTAAAATGAATATTATATTTGAATATTTGTTGAAATGTCAAAAATAATAAATCTATTGTATTTTTAGTTTGTTATAGCTATATTTCAATTCTTTATATTCATATTTTTTATTGATTTTAATTTTATATATTAAATTGAGTATATAGAAAATATATTATATATTTTATTATATTATATATATATAATATTAAAATTAAAATTATTTAAATTTATTTAATATAAATATATTTAATACTTTAAAATATTTAAAATAATTTGATATATATATTTTTTTCAAATATTTATAACTTTTTAATGTTGATAAAAATTAAAACATTATTATATATTTTTAATCTATTTTTTTTGAATTGAATGAATTGAATTGAAAGGTTCACAAATTTTTTTTAATTGCATTCTTAAATAATTTAAATATATTTTTCTATTGAAATCTTTATGTCAATTAAAGTTAAAAACAAAAGAAATTTAATTTAAAGCTAAGTACCTTAGCAAATGTATAAAAGAATTTTGGCATACGCCAAGATCTACTTGGAATTAGAATAACTTTGGATTTGCATCACACTTTACTCACTTAATTAGCGACAGGGTGTCCTTGTACATGGTCCAGGTGGCCTCCATGTTGCAGCGCTCCATGGCATCGGCGGTTAGCAGAAAGTAGACAATTGCCTCGAGGTAAAGCGTCATCTGACTGAACGAATCTCGTTCCGAATCGGCGGCTCGCTTGCGCCTGATCGCCTCCTGCAGCAAAAAATCGTTTTTTCTGAAAAAAAAGAGAAAACAGAAAACAGTTAATGAGAGTAGACAAGGTAAGCGGGCTCTAGACGAGTATGACCGACTTGCAGATACCGTGAGCCCTTGAAATAATAATGATGCTGGCTGCTTCTTGATGCATGTGGCTAGACCAATCTCAGCTCGATTTAGCTCACCTGAGATCGTCGCTGTCATTCTCCTCCTCCTTGTCAAAGTGGGATCTATAGATGAGACGCGGCTCTGGTGGTGGCGCCGCCGGTGGTGGCGTCGTTTGCACCGCTTCGCTGCAGGTGGTTGGCAGTTGAATGGGCACAGGAGCAACTGTTGCTGCCGCCGCTGTGGGCAGTGACTGCGACTGTTGTTGCTGCTGCTGTTGTTGCTGCTGCTGCTGCTGCTGTTGCTGTTGTGATTGTGACAATGGTCGCGCATGTGGCGGCTGCTGTTGCTGCAACTTGTTGGGACTGCCATTGGCGGCGGCGCTTTCCTGCTGCAGGAGCAACTCGAACTTGTCGCGCGATAATCGCTCGTGATTGTTGGCAGGCAGCAGCACCGGCACGGGCAGCAGCTCCTTGCTGAGCTGTTCGGCTTTCTCCTTTTTTCGCTTCTTCTCCTTGTAGGGGCTCGAGCTGGAGCTGGAGCTGCGTTTGCGTCGACGCGCGGGCAACTCCTGCTTGAGCATGAACTCCTGCTTAACGCTGTTCGGTTTGTACTTGGCCTCATAGCCGGCTTCCAGCTCCGGCTCGGGCTTAACGCCATGCTCATGCTTGACGCCGCCAAGCAGCTTGTTAGCTGCTGCACCACCAACACCACCAACACCACCAGCACCCACATAGCCGTTGGGCGTATAGATCTGTTGCAGATCCTTGGGCGTGCGCGCGCCCTCGGCGGAACGACTGCTGAGATGCCCGTTCTGCTGCGCCTTCAGTCTCTCTGGCTGGTGGTGGTGGTGGTGCTGCTGCTGCTGACCATCAACTGCGTACAGTCTGTAGCTGTTCTGATACCACTCGGGCGGCACTCGAGCCAGCTTGCTTAGGTCTATTTTGCACATCAGCGATGTGAGGTGTGGCGTGGTGGTGCGTGCTGGCGATGCTAATGTGGCGCCCAGCAGCTGTGTGGGCGTGGCACGCGGCTTAAGCTCTTTGGCCTGCTGCTGCTGCTGTTGCTGTTGCTGCTGCTGCTGCTGCTGTTGCTGCTGCTGCAATTGCTCCTCGGATTGATCGATTATAACGACCTGACCCTGCTTCTTGGCGCCGCCCTCTTTGGGATTGAAGATGCGCGTCAGCGTGCATATCTTCTTCTTATCACTCTTGCGCTTGCCGCTGCGATGCTCGACGTCCTCGTCGCTGCTGCTGCTGCTGCCGCTGCTGTTGCTGCTGCTGTCGCTGTTGCTGCTGCTGCTGCAGTCGCTGCTGCTCATGCGCTGCGCTGACTGCGGCAGCGACTCGGCCCCAAAGTGACCCAGCAGCGATTGTTGCTGCTGCTGCTGCTGCTGTTGCTGCTGCAGCTGCAATTGTTGCTGCTGCTGCAGCTGTTGCTTTTGCTGCTGCTGCTGCTGCTGCTGTTGCTGCAGTAGCAACAGCTGCTGTTGCTTGTGCTGTTGCTGCTCTTCGGTTTCGCTGCTGCTGCTGCTGTTGCTGCTGCTGCCAACGCTGTAGCGACGCTTCGCCTTGTTGCTGCTGCTGCTGTTGCTGGCCACGCCCACTTTATTGATTTTCACAATGCGCTTTTTGGCGGGATTTTGTGCAGTTGCTGCTGCTGCTGCTGTTAGAGCAATGGTTGCTGCTGGCGCTGCTGCTGCTGCTGCTGCTGCTGTTGATGGCGTTTCAGTATCGCTGCCGCTGCTGCTGCTTTTGCTGTTGCTATTGCTGGACTTGGTGCTGCTGCAACTGCTGCTGCTGCTGCTGTCATCATCGCTGCTCAGACCATCGACACGCTCGATCTTAGCCGCAAATGTTGCTGCGGGCTTCTTGGTGGGCGTGTTGCTATTGGAACTGCTGTTGCTGCTGTGCTCGCGCTTGCGACTGCTCGCAGCAACTGTTGCTGTTGCCGCCGTGCTGTTGCTGTTGCTGTTGCTGCTACTGGCGCTGCCTTTGGCTAGAGGTTTCTTGGCTGCTGTCAACGTTGGTCCCTTCGCCTGTGAACTGCTTGCCGAGGCGCTGCTCAGATTTCCGCTCTGCTGCTGCTGTTGCGGTGGTTGCTGCTGCTGCTGCTGCTGCGCCTGCTTGCGTGGCCTGCCGCGTCCCTTTTTAATTGCTGGCACCGCCGCTGCCACAGGCACCGCCACAGCGGCGGCAGCAGCCGCTGCTGTTGCTGCCAGCTCCAGCGCATGCTTCTTGTTGCTGCTCGCCGTCGTCGGCTCATCCTCGTCGCTGGAGTCCAGCGGCGTCACCGTCGCTGCCGACATTTTCTTTTTGCGCGGCTTCTTCTGTCGTGGCTTCGGCGACGCCGGCAGCGGCCCAATCGGCGTCAATGTGACGCTGTTGGGCGTCACCTTGTGCTGCATCGCCGGCGGCACACGCAGCACCGTTGTTATGGCCGCAGGTACGCCAGGTATTTGTAGCGTTTCGCCAGGGCCGGGCATTGGCATCACTTCGCTGCTGCCGCCGGCGCTGTCCGAGCTGCTGCTGCCGCTGCCGCTGCTGGCGCTGCCGGAGTCAGACAAACGCGATTCGCGTTTAATTTGGTTTTTTGGCAAAGCACCCGCCAGAGCCAGCTGCTCCGTCGTCAGCTGTTGTTGCTGTTGCAGCAGCAACTGTTGCTGCTGCTGTTGCTGCTGCTGCTGTTCCAGTTGCTCCTTCTTCACAGTCACACTTAAGCCATATCTCTGCTGCTGCTGCTGCTGTTGCTGCTGCTGCAGATGCTGCTCATCGGTCTCGTCGTCCTCGTCATCGTCCACGTGTCGCGGCTCGTCGTGCAGCTTCTCGTTCTTCACGATCGCCGTGGTGACGTCTATCGACTCGGGTATGATTTGTGCACCGCCCGGCAGGATGCCGGGCACCTTCATGCTCACATTGCCCATGGCATTGGCCACGCCCGGCGACACACTCTCGGCGGCTGTCTGATTCGCTGGCTTGGGAAAGAAGCGGCTCAGATTCCAGCGATTGCTGTCCGTTGGCGACGGCGTCTTGTTCGACGAGCTGGAGCTGCTCATGGTGCCCATGCAGGAACCGCTGGAGCCGCCGCCGCCGCTGCATGTGTTGCCAATGCCAGTGGCATTGATGGCACCGCCACCTGCAACACTGCCCGCACCAGCACCACCCAAACCACTCGACGTAAGCAACCCGCTGATTGTGTTCGCTCCACTCGCAATTATCGTTTGGCTGTATTTCTTTTTGCTGCCATTGGCGTTGGCTGCGAGTCGCTGTTGTTGCTGCTGCTGCAGCAGCAATTGTTGCTGTTGATGCAACAGCTGTTGCTGCTGCTGTTGTTGCTGCTGCTGCTGCTGCTGCTGCGTATCACCTTTGCTGCTTGCCTCGCTGCCCGATTCGCTGGAATCGGACTCAGAGCTGTTGCTGCTGTTCCCAGCTGATCGACTGCAAGTGCGAGAGAGAGAGCTATATTAGCATATGCCAGCAGTGCTTGTCAAACTGTCATGCTTACCCATCCTTTTTGCGCTCATCATCAGATTCGGATAGCTCCAGATCATTCTCAAGGCTGCAAGTAGAGTTAATGCTTACTATAATAATGTTTCATATTTTTATTTCCCACTATTTTATGAATACTTTTTCCCGCTATTATCTAATAAAATTAATTATTTACCAATTTTGTTGACTAAATTTGTCTTTTTTTTATATTTCATATTTCTCCCACTATTTTTCAGTAATTACCCATATTATCTGCAATTACCCACTATTGTCATTTTTACTCAACATTTTCAATTTTCCCACCATTTAATTGCCTCCTTTTTATCAACTATTATTACCCCTATTTTCGAATATTTTGCATAATTTCCCATTTTATTTGACTTTAATTATTTTTCCCACTATTTATAACATTTTGTAAGCCATTTTACCCGCTATTTCGCAACATTTCCCTGCTATTTCCCTACATTATTACCGCACTGTTTGCCTATTTATAGTGGGCATATCCTCTATTATGCGCAGTCTAAAGGAAATATTGGGTTTTATGCATTCAATTACCCACCAATAGTGGTTGCATCCCCTATTACCCACTATTTTCCGAGTTCCTTCTTCTACCTTTGCAGCCCTTTCCCATTGCATTCTTAACTGATTGTCACACTTTTAACTAGTTTTTCCAATTTCCCCATGTCTTCGCCCTATTTTTCCCAGTATTATTAACCGTTCTCCTCCTGCACTTACCACGAGTCCTGTTTCTCCAGCGAATGATTCTTTTCCGTTTTTAGCGGCTTTATCGCTGGCGGCGTCGGCGACGCCTTGGGGGGCGTGGGCATCAGCTGCTGGATGGGCGCCACAGCAGCCAGGCCCAGGGAAGGCGGCACCGTTGTGGCGCCCGCCAACGGCGCCAGCTGCAAAGGCAGTTGGCTGGCCTGCGGCGGTGTCGTCAACAGCGGTGCAATGGGCGAGGTGATCGGCGCAATGGGCGCCAGCAGCGGCGTCATCAGCGACGAGGCGCTCGCCGCCGGCGGTGAGTTGAGTGGCCCGATGGAATCAAATGCATACTTATACTTATTGGGCCCATTCAGATTGTAGTTCTCGGACATTGGAGCGTGCGGCGTGGCCGCAATTGAGGTCAACGGGGTCACGCGATAGTTGTTGGTCATTTCGGTGATTATTTTGCTAATATCCTTCTGCGAGAGCCGGAACGATGGGAGGGGTAGAGAGAGAGAGAGAGGGGAGGAAAGGGAGGTAGGGAATTGGGAGGAGGTAGAGATAGGAGAGGGAGAAAATGAGAGAGATGTGGAGGGACGTATAAATAGTTTTATAGAAAGAGAGAGTGAGAATGAGATTGAGGATAGGATGAGGGAGAGTGAAAGGGAAGAGAGTGAGGAAGAGAGGAGAGAGAGAGGGAAAGAAAGGGAGAGGGAATTGTGGAGGAGGTAGAGATAGTGAGAGGGAGAAAATGCTGGATGTGGAGGATGTCCCCTCATTATATAGACAGAGCGAGAGCGAACCTGAGATTGCGTGCTGGGCTGCGGCGAGTGCCGCGCGCGTGCGGCCGCGGCGACGCTAGTGAGCCCGGCGGGCGGGAGTATTGTAGAGGAGGTGGAGATAGGGAAAGAGAGAGTGAGATTGAGGGAGGGTGACAGGGAATGAGCGTGAGGAAGAGAGAGAGAGAGAATTTAAATTAGTATTAGCAAGTAATATAAAAGTAAAATATAATATAAATTAAAATACAATAAATTTGAATACATAACAAATTAATAATACAGACTAAAATTTCTATATAATTTGCTAAGATGGATTTAGCTAATAGTTGTCGAAGTTTTCTTAGTCATGTTTTCAATATATACTTGAGCCTAAAAGTGCAAGAGAACAAACTATATACTGAAGTATTTCAAAATAGTTAACATTTGTCTGCTTAAGAATATTTAACAAATAAAATTGCTGCCCTTTAAAATATTATTAAGCATAGGAAAAATGCTGATGGCAGACAAGAAATGCACAAGTTCCTCTGGGACTGGTCGGAGTATAAAATTGAGCTGTGGATCAATAGATTGAGCAGATGGTTTTTCGCTCCGAAGAGCAACGCTTCTTATTAAGGTTGAGCCTGATAGTAAATAATCTATATATATTCTATATAAAACTAAAATCTTACAAGCCTTTAAAGGCAATTTTTGTGACTTTTCTGTCAGATTTTTAAGCAAAAACTTATTTTCAGGCAAACATAACCTCAAATATAGCTCAAATTGATCTGTTTTTTGACTCAATTCGGATTAAGCAAATCGCAAATCCTAAACTCTTACTTGCTTACTAAATCTAAATCTAAATCTAGATCTAAATTTATACATTTCTAGCTATATTAGCTAAACATTGCGCGATAATCAGCTGCTGCTGCATAGTTCTCAAAGACTTATCGATAACTCGATTACTTCTTAGCTCTGCTTCGTTTCATAGAAATACAATATCTAAAACCTACAGTTATCGATTTCTATGTTCGATAACTGATTGCACTTTACTCTCTACAACTATCGATAACTTATCGATTACAACTTACCTCTGGTGGCGGTGGCTGCAGTCCTGCGCTGTTGCTGGGCCGCTTGCTGCTGGCCGCTGGCGGCACAAAGCGTCCGCCGTTGGGCAGCGCCGGCGCCGGCGGCCCCAGAAACGACTTCTCGCGGCCATTTGGCATCTGCGTGGACATGGGCGGGCCGAGGGGCGAGGACATGGACGTTGACGTCGCGCCCGCTGCCGCTGCCGCTGTGGCATTGTTTGTGGCGCTGGACGAGTTGATGCTGTTGTTGTTGCTGCTGGCAGACGATGAGGATCTGGGCGGTCCACGTGGCGGCGCCATGCCGCTACTCGAGGGTATATCATTCTTCATCGGCTGCCCGGGATAGCCGCCACGCCCATTGTAGGGCGGCTTATTATCCGCCTGCTTCAGATAGGTGGGCGCCCGCTGCTGCTGTTGATAGTGTTGCTGCTGCTGCTGTTGCTGCTGCTGTGATGTGGGCAGCTGGCCAGGCACCGAGGCGGATGAAGAAGCTGATAACGAGGATAACGCTGCCGAGTTGGCGGAGGCGGACGCGGAGGCGGAGGCGGATGATGACGATGAGTAGGAGTTGGCAGCCGAGTTGCCGCCGAACGACGGCGCCTGCAGTCGCGAGTTCAACGGATGCGACCCGTGCCTGTAGATGCCCACCGTGGAGGAGTTCATATGGTCCCGGGCATCGATGAATTCGCCAAGGGCGGCGGTAATTTCCGCATCGCCCTCGCTGGGATTGAGGCGACGCGGCTCACCAAAAAGACTAGTCTCACGATCATCGCTCTGTATGCCCTGTTGGCGTTCATATTTTTCGCGTTCGCGTCTTCTGCGCCGCTCGGGATCCTCCATGCTGCAAGAAGGGAAGCGTTTGGATGGTAAGCTGTGTGTTAAAAGTAAAGCACTTCGACCTGTTCGACAAGCAAACACGACAACAAAAACAACAACAGCAACAATAGTTGCACAATTATAAATAACAAACAAACATGACAGGCAACAACATGAACAACAACAACAACATTGACAAGAAGTAGCAGAAGGAGATCAAGAACAAACATGGCTTGGCAGTTGACAGCAGTTTGACATGCGCTGCGCTGCGCTGTGGGTGCTATGTAAACAGTTGGACATGCATTGTGCTTGCGGGCATTTTGTTAGTTTTTGTCAGTTTTATGTTTGCTAAGCAAATGCTTTTCTTTTGCATATAGATTATTAGCTTTGGCAAATATTTATCGATTTTTAATTATATTTTAAAAAATATATTTATTTTTTATTTCTTTTTTTTTAATATTTAAAGTTTTTAATATTTATATTTAGTTTTAAATTTTGTTAATATTTTAAATGTTGCTTTTTTAATTTTTTTTAATTCTATTATATGCAAGTCTTATGAGGAAAAATGCGTTTAATAAATGTTTCGCTTTTAAAATATTTTTAAGAATTATTTATAAAAAAAAATGAGGATTATATATATATTTATATATATTTTAGAAAATTTATATAAGTTTTGTAATTTCATCTATTTCGTCAACAAATATTGGGATTTTGTATTATATATTTTGACAAACATACATACACACATATATTTACATAAACAAATATGTTAATTGGTTTTTCATTTTGATTTCTTTTTTCAGGTTTCGAATTTTAATATGAATTGGTTTTCATTTTATAATTCAATACAAAATTTAAGTTAAAGAAAAATGATCCGTTATCAAATTAAATTTGTCAAGAGTGAATCAAATTGAAATTTCGAAAATTTACATATTTCACTTGAAATTCGACTGAATATTTTGCACGTACAGAAAGATAGAAAAGCTTTCAGCTCTGTTAGGCGTAAACAGTTTGACATGCACGCAAGCACGGTTTGATGAGCATGTAAACAAAGCCTTTGATTGTAGAACACACAGAGAGGGGATTGGGGGTTGTACAGCTTGTGTGCGTGCGTATGGATGTGTGTGTGTGTATATGTATGTCTGTGTTTGCTTGTGTGCTGTAAACGCGACAGTTGTTTAATTTAAATATTTGCCTTGACATTTAAAAGCTTTTGGTTTGAGCTTTAGTTAATAAAACAAAGCCATTTTTTCGTGGCGCATGCTAAAACACACACACACAAACACATATAAACAAGCAAAGGAAATGTGAAGAAGAAAGGAGGGAGGGAGGGAGAAGGGGTAAGACAGCGCAACGCAATGACTCTCAAAACTTACTTATAATTCAGGTTGTACAAATTGTTATTGTACTGCAGTAGTTGTTGTTGTTGTTGCAACAGCTGTTGTTGCTGCTGCTGATGGTGTTGCTGCTGCTGGTGTTGTTGTTGTTGCTGTTGTGCCATAACGCGCGCTTAATACAAATATTTTTTTAATTAGTTTCGCCGGCGACGCGCACGCAAACAAGCAAAACATAAACACACACACACACGCAAGCACGGAGACAACGAAAACCGCAAAAAATTATATGTGTACGTGTCAGTGTGTATGTGTGTGTGTTGGGCTAAACAGAAAGTGTTTGTAAAAGTTTGTCGCGCTCGGTCTGTTGCTCGCTCACTTGCTCTCTTTATCTTTCGCAAATGCTCTCTTTGCTTTGACGCGCTTATGTTATCGTTGTGATTCTGCTGCTCTGATGGCAGCAGCGGCGTCGCGGCGCTTTGTATTTTTTGTTGTTGCGTTCCTCAAGTTCTGGCTGCGCTGTGTTTGCTTTTCTCTTTGTTGTTGTTGTTACTGCCGTTGTGTGTGGCCGCAACATTTTCGCTGTCATTTGCTGCTGTTGCTTTGCTTGTGTGCGTCTATCTCTCTCTCTCTCTCTCTCTCTCTCTCTCTTTGTTTCTCTCTCTTTCAGGCACTGGCCATTTAAAGTTTTGGAAGCACTGCGAGCGTCTTTTATTGTTTGTATTTAGTTCGTTGCGTTTTAGTTAACAAAAAAAAAGTATGAATTATGTAAGTTGTTTTTTGCTTGTTCTTTTAACAGCCTTTTCAGTTTAAATGCCGATTTTTGTTTCATTTGTTGTTGTTGTTGTTGTTGTAATTGTTATTTTGATTAACTGTGAGTCTTTACATTGCTTTGTGTAGAGTACAGAAGTTGTGTAAGTGTGTTTGTGTAAACTGTGTGACAAAATGTAATGTTGTAGTACCTGTAAAGAGAAAAACAATTGAAAATTAATAAAATTGCAGTTAAATTGAAAACTTACTAACTAAAAACAATCACTTTAAAGCTTAACTAATTGCAGTCAGTCTAGTGCCCACACAAATGCAAATATGCGCATATAAATACACACTTATACAATTAAGAAAATATCAACCAAGCTCACTGACTGCACAAGACAAGGACATAGAATGGCGCGTCATTACTTTTCATTATTGAAGAAGAGCGGCGACCCTCGCACAGTTACACACACTCACATATGCACACGTGCGGGGATTATAGAGCTTTGCTTTGCCTGCGCTCTTTGCTGAACCGCTATCCACACTAGTAGCAGCAGCAACAACAACAACAAAATGGCGTCAGACTAGTGACTGGTAGTGCAATGCTTAAATTCACTTAGCTTGCCGAAACTGAGCAGAAGAGCAACAGAAAGAGAGGGGGAAGCAACGGTTTTTAGAAAATAGCTTAAGCTCTACTTTAACGCAGCAGCTGCATCGAAGAGAGTGAATTCAATTAGTGATAATGGAACTTCAAAAATTGAGCTCGCATACATTTTGGGCAATTACACTCTTAAGTGCATGTACATGGGAAATTTTACCACTATAAACTTTTTACTTCTCATAATCTATGCTTTTAACCATTTTTGCAATTTATAAATGAAGTTTAAATTATTATACCAAGCTTTGTTGCAAAACAATCAACAATCAAAAGACAAATGCGAAAAAGACTTAAGAGCTATTGCTGCAGCTTTAGTTTAAATGGCCGCACATTAAAGCCAAATCTCTTTGGCAATGTGCGAGAGAGAGGGAAGAGCGCAACATAAGCCGACAGCAACAAAAATATAAATTAAGGGACAACAAAAACTTTGTCAAGCCGTTTGCTCAACTCTGTCCGTTGTCCGTTGTCTGTGGCTGACTTCTTCATTCATTTTTCTTGTGTGCATAAACTATTTGTGCGCACTGTGTCCATAAGGCATGGGCAGAGAAATAAAATAATTAAATGTTCGTCCAAGCTGGATTTGGACTCTGTTTTTGGCTCCTCAGTTGAGTTGCTAACAAAATTTATAAGACAAATAAATTTTAGCAGCAGCAAAAGCATAAAAACACAGCAGATTTGTGGCTGTTCTCCCGCTCCCTCCGTCTCTCCCTCCCTCTCTATCTGTCTTTGGGCAACTGTAAAAGGGTCAACATTGTGCGTCTGATGTCCTGTTTTTGAGTGTCCTGTGACCAGAAAATGAATTTAACTGACACGTTTTTCATTCCGTATACATATATACATACACATACATACATACATACATACATACATACATAAATATATATATATATACATATATAAAGTACTTTTTGTCATACATAAAATTCTGTTGCATATGCTAAGGCGCCGCACAACGGGGCACAATTTGCTTTGCTATAAAAAGTTCTGATTTGCTCTACTGAGTCCAACCAGCTGCAATTAAACATTAATAATAGCAGTGAGTGGGAAAACGTGTTGGCCAAACTTTATTTGGCCGCTCGCAATAGTTAATAGTTAATCAACTCGTGATTAGTTCAAAACAAAATTGTGGCTTGAAAACTTTGTTCCACTAAATGAAATGGAACGGGTGGAAATAACATATCCAAAACATATGACACTTTGTTACGCATTGCCCCAGAGACCTACAAACCCCATTTAAACAGTGAGCAGCGAGCGAATGGACTGGACTCTCGGATATAATAATAAAAGCATTTTCCATTTTCATAAACAAAACTATTTCCGTGTCACTAAAATTACCTTTTAATATGCAACCTACGACTGGTTGAATGAGAATGGGTGGAGAGGAAGACAGAGACAGAGCATCTAGTCAGCAGAGGGATGGAGACACGGAAAGTAAAGAAAATAGAGGGAGAAAGAGAGAAGTGAGAGAGAGAGAGAGAGTGTGAGAGAGAGAGAGAGAGGAGAAAGAGGAGAAAGAGGAGAGAGAGGAGAGAGCGGAGAGAGAGAGAGAGAGAGAGAGAGAGATAGAGAGAGAAAGAGAGAGGAGAGATATTCGAGACGACTCCCACGCGCACTACTCCTCTCTCGCTTCCCTCTCTCTCTCTCTCCTACTCGCGCTCGCTCCTCTCGCTCCCCCCTCTCTCTCCCCTCTCTCTCTCTCCTCTCCTCTCTCTCTCCTCTCTCTCGCTCTCCCCCATCTCGCCCTCCCTCTCTCCTGCTCTCTCTTCGCCCTCTCCCGAATCTCAGAAAGAGAAGAAAAGAGAGAACGGAAGGAGATAGAGAAAGAGATAATCTCAAAAAGAGGAGAAGAGAAGAAACTGAGGGAGAGAGGGAAAGAGCTGTGAGACAAGGAAGGAAGCATAGAGAAATAGAGTGAGAGTTCGAAGGATAGATAATGAGAGAGAGGAAAGCTAAAAAGAGATAGACACCGCAAAAGAGAGGCAGTGATTATATTAATTACAATGAGAATCGCATAGAAGGACTATCTCAAACACAAGAAAGCAAGAGTTTATATAAATTTTCTATAAATAGAACTTTTCAAAGGCAACTCAATATAATCGATGGGAAGGCAAACCCTTTTTAGCTAAATTTTGTGGAAAATATCGAAGTTCTTTTCTCGCCTTTCAACTGGGCGCCGTGTAAATGAATCCACCTTCTTATTGATTACAAAAGTTTGCTCTGGCTTAAGCACATGTTCGTATTTGCTTTGTAACGTTGCCAAGCTGAGCTGTGTGTGTGTGT